AAGTTCAGGACAGTCAAGACACTCCGATGGAAGGCAGCGCGGTGGTCAGTGAGCTCCATCTGATCCAGTGAGATCTGAAGGACGTAGTGTGTGTTGGTCGCACACAGAAGTTTCCCCTGCACTGAGCCGTCAAGTCTCTTCCTCCGTCCCCTTCCCCCGTTGACCCGCTCCTCGACGCTCCCTTCTGTCCCACCTCCCCTCCTTCTCTCGCTCCCTCTCCCACCCTTATCCGCTCCTTGACGCTCCTCCGTCCCTTCCTCCTCCTCTCCTTCCTTCCCTCCCTCCGTCGCTCGCTCCCTCCCTGACCTCCATGTAGTCCATGCTCGTCACAGACGCTACCGACTCATGCACCTTGGTCGAGTATCCCCGGACGGAGACCTGACAACGATCATGAGTGTCGGGAGGAGGCAGCAGGCGGCACCTGTCTGATCAGCCTGGCAGGCTTCACCAGATGATCTCCTGCCCACTGGAACTCCCAGACCTGTCAGGCATGGGAAGCTTCAGGAAAGAGAACGGCTGCTGCTGGTCGACCTTGATGTATGCATCCTGTCCTGAGCTGACCAGCAGGCCATCGCAGACCAGGAGGCAGAGGACCTGGAGCAGAGGAGGAGGGTGAGGGATGAAGGGGAGGGCGGAGGAGCACCGCTCCGTCGTGAGCATCTTTGATGTGCTCCAGCCCGACGATCTCCGTCCCCTGACGATCAAGTTCACTGCGAGCAGGGAGCATGAAGAATTTCAAGTCGTTCCAAGGGGCGAGTGAGGAAATTTCGACCCATCCGTAGGGAAGAATTGAAATATTAGAGGGCGAGGGATGAAATTACCTTATTCCCAAAGAAGATTATCATCCCGTTCTGCATCCCAACAATCGCAGCCTGCCCGTCATCCGTGAACGCCACACAGTTCCCTTGACAGGGTTTGCGGGTCAGCTGGAGACGGAGGGTGTCAAATGGCCTGTCGGGAGGTAGCTGGGGAGTAGTTGGACCTTGAGGTAGGAGGCGCTCTTGGAGGCAGCCTCCGGGTTGCTGGCAGCGGTCTGTTGCAGCCGTTAGACCCTAAGGTGGGCAGATGGAACGCCCGACCGCATAGTCCCAGTATCTCACTCCTCGGTCCCCACACTGAACAAACTGCGTTGGGATGACGGGGTTGTGCTTGACAGAGGTGACAAGGTTTGTTGCAGCCGTTAGCTTGATCGCAACGGTCACACGTCAGCGACGGGTTCATCGCAAGGGACATGAAGGCAACACCTGCCAGAGCGTCCTGCCTGTCTCCCACTCGTACACGACGATCATAGCACTTGCGTCGCTCTTTCCCCCGAAGACAACCTGGCAAGCAGCGAACAACACACTCTTATGGTCAGCCGTCTTGCCAACTTTCGTCTTGCGCAGGTACCAAGTTCCTGCCAGAGCGATCGAAGTCCAGGGAATGAATCCTGTGCTGGAGGTCCCGCGCCAGTACACCTCTGCTCTTCCATCCTCCCTTGAGTACGCCAGCGTCAAACTTCCAACATCCTCCCTGCACCATCGCGCCTCTACCTCCTCCACCGGACGGTTGTTCCTCTTTAGCGTCGAGGCGTTCCATACCAGAACAGACGCACATGGCCGACCTTCGCTCGTGCGACGCCTTAGAGACGCGACCTGCCCAGATGCGATGTATTTCTAGGACAACCCGATCAAAGGGACAAGCAGAGGATTGAACTTTCTTGCCCTCACCTTGCTGGGATGTATAGCTATGCTGATGACGTCATCGTCGTGCTCGTCGAAGAACTGTTGGGTGTGATGGGCTGGGACCGGTCAGAACTTCGCTCCTCCCAGAACATGCTGTTACCGATGTCGTAAATTACCACCAGCGAAGCAGCCTGGGGTCAGACAGGGTCAGGCCGGGAGGGTGTGACCTGGTCTTTCACAAGCGCCGAGCACTACCGGATACACGATGTGATTGCTGTCAAGGTAGTGAACGATGTCCCTCGTGTCGAAAGATCTTATCCCTTCACAATCACGTCAGAATCTACCGATGCAGGCCTCCGGGGCTGACCGTAGACGTACTGGAGCTGTAGCTCGCAAGGAGTCGGCGCGCTATCGGACTTCTCAACCAGGCCATCACTCAGCATCTTTCACGTCAGAACGACTTACGGCCGAGGCTCTCCACCACGATTGCGGGTAGACCCTTGCCTGAGGTCAGAGTTAGCTTGCTGATGACATAATTTATCGATCGCTAACTTTGCAAGGATGGTAGGTCTGCCCCGCAGGACCCTCGTTACGTATCTCCTTCCTCTCCTGCCGCACGGTTAAGGATCCTCCTCCTCCTCCTCCTCCTCCTCCCACCTTCAGTTCACCAGCCACGATGTGTCCATGCAGAGGATGCCTCGCCGCTCCTCGGAGCTGCTCGTAGGATCAGGGCTGATATCGAGCCACCAGTGACCGCAAGGAGTTAGGAAACCTGTCGGTGAGCACCCTTGGACGCGAGATCTACTCGTCCAACTTCACTCACATGGCACCTCCTCCTCCTCATGCTTCACCTGTCTGCAGACGATTCTGATGAGGGGCACGGTCCGCCTGATTTTCTGCCCGTTACGCACAAGAGCGCGAAGGAGGTTGGAAACCTTGGTTCTCAAGCAGAACAGGTACTCAAGATTTCTGGATGAGATCTTTGATCCGAACGCAACATCTCTGCTCACACATCATGGGGAACTTTCGGGGAAAGCATCGACCACCTTCCTTTCCCCAAACCGACAAGATCCCCATCCTACAAACAAAGTGAATCGAACCATCCGATTTGCGCATGTCATACACCTTCAGAATGGCTTCGCGGACACGAATGCTGTTCACAAAAACACCATTGTTGGAGCTGTTCGCTTCGTCTACCACTCGCCATTCTGTGGGTATACCTGTCCCATCGCATCTATCCTGAACAGTTAAGAGTGTTTTCCACTTTCATGTAGGAATTGCCTGAGACCGCGGATCGAGAAATGCTTTCTCGACGCGCCATCCCAGAAGAGCTTGACATCGCAAGAGGGATCTCGACCAAACACCATGTCGTTCTGAGAGTCGTCAAACTTCTCGAAGCTTCTACATCATCGCAATCGACTTGCCTGCGAAAGGTGAAACGTCTTGTCCCTGAGCTGTGGATCAGCACTCATGTGTACTTCAAGCTTCGCCATGCTTGCTCGTCTATCTCAACCGTGTCGCTCTGCTCCGCGTCCTGCTGTCCAACTCCCTCCGCCGTCCCTCAGCATCTCCCGCCCAAGCCGCTTGCCCCCGCTCCCGCCATCTTTTCGTTCCGATTTTGAAAGTTTGAAAGTTTACAACAGGCTCAAAGTTTTAGGGACCGGCAGTGAAGTTCCGAAGTTATCATATATAGTATGTTTGACTCGTGACAAGTCGCAAGAGTGACTCAGACGGTTCCGAACTCGGAAGTTCCCCGAGTCCCGGATCGCCGCAGTGCGCGCCGCGTCAGGCGCCTCCACCGGGGGACCATTCCCCCCCGGCCCGGCGCGCCGCCGCGTCGGAGTCGGCCCGGCGAAGAGTCAGGCTGAGTCCCGCCCCCGGAACCGTTCTTTTACTCAAAGTTAAGTCAAAAATCAGTACGAGGACAATCAGGAGAGTCGAGGAGGCTTGACCTGACACTGTCGCACAGGCGTTTCAGTTCATCATCGAGTCAGAACTTCGGTGACTTCGACTGAGTTTGAAGTTCGGAAGGACTCCCGCCGGCCTCAGACTCGGCCTGGGACTCTTACTGTACCACGGTACCACTTAATTCACTCAAAGTTAAGTTACTGCTAGCTACCGGCGGCCTTCATCGCCCTCATTCTCAGGCTCTTCAATTTTCCGGAGGTCGGTCACCGCGCCTGCTCAGACCGTCCAGGTACCCCCACCCCCAATATGTAGCCTACTGACCCTCATCACCCCTCAAAATCCCGTCAAGATCCCACCCTTTTGAGTTAGGCCAGTGGGTCTCGGAGCCCCCCACCCCCGCCGGTACCGTACGGTCCCGCGGCATGATTGGGAAAGTTTACAAATGCGGATACAACATTATATGATACCACCCCACCCCTAGACGGGCTCAGGTCCCGCAGGCCATATCTGTGGCAGCGGGCTGACCCTGCCACGGTATTGCACCACTGAACCCCACTGGGAGGTTCCCCTGGGACCAAGGACCTTCAGCTCTTTTACATATGGTGGCACATAGGAAATCACTTACCCTTTCCCATGCCACTGGCCTCAGCTGGTCGCCCGACCATCGAACATGGCCCTGACCCCCTCCTACCGTAGAAATGTTAAAAACTGTACCGAAGGGGTACCCGTGAGTTGAACTACCGGTGGTCATTCAAGTGCCCTACCCCCAATTCCGAAAGTCACCCCACTTGCCGCCTCAACCTTACAAAAAAAAAGTCAACCAGGATCCCTACCCCTAGCTGTCGCGAATTGACCCCTACCTTCTCCCCAGTTGGCACGATGCCGAATTGGGGAATTGAAGGGTGGGGTAGGGTGGGGATTAGGTTCGAACTGGAAGAGGGTCTGAGGCAATGTTGGAACTCTCCTAGAGGTACCTGGTTCGATTTCAAGGGGGTAGGTAGTAACAATGACAATGAGCCACGAGCAAGGTGGGGTAGGGTAGATACCCCCACCCCCTGCTCTTGATTAGCAGCGCCGCACAGTCTGTACCCCACCGAGAAACAAGCTGACGTCATGGTGAAATACCCCTACTTTTCACCTATAAACAACCCCTACCAATGTACCCCTACCCTTCGGTCTACACTCACCTCGCGCAAGAAAACCATAAAAATGTTGTTTTTCCCAGCCGTCACTGCCGTCACGATGGCGGCAATGACCGTCACGATGGCGGCAATGACTAGTAGCTGACTCCTCCTCTTCCTCCTCCTGTCCTCCTCCTCCTCCTCCTGTCCTTTTCTTCCTCCTTCTGTCCTCCTCTTCCTTCCTCCTCCTGTCCTCCTCTTCCTCCTCCTGTCCTTTTCTTCCTCCTTCTGTCCTCCTCTTCCTCCTCCTGTCCTTTTCTTCCTCCTTCTGTCCTCCTCTTCCTCCTCCTGTCCTTTTCTTCCTCCTTCTGTCCTCCTCTTCCTCCTCCTGTCCTTTTCTTCCTCCTCCTGTCCTCCTCGTCCTCCTCCTGTCCTTTTCTTCCTCCTTCTGTCCTCGTCCTCCTCCTCATCCTCGCCTTCTAAGTCATCATCCTCCTCCTCATCCTCGCCCTGGTCGTCTTTGTTCTTGTCCTCGTCCTCCTCGTCATCCTCGTCCTCTTTCTCGTTCTTGTTCTCGTCCTCGTCCTCCTCGTCCTCGTCCTCGTCCTCCTCGTCCTCGTCCTCGTCCTCCTCGTCCTCCTCGTCCTCCTCCTCTCCCCCTCTCCTCCTCCTCCTCCTCCTCCACCACCACCTCCTCCTCCTTTCTTGTTCCCTCTGCTCTTCGTTGCAGCTTCAACCGTCTTCCATTCAATCCCGAGCTGCTTTAGCTGGTTAATATCTTCTTGGTCCTGTCGTCCTTGTGATTGCTGCGTTCATTCGTTTTTCAAGTTTCTTTGTATTCCCTCTCCCTGCTCTCCCTGCTCTTCCTGCTCTTCCTTGCCTCCCTCCTCTTACTGTTTCGTTGCTTCTTGCAAGCTAGTCGTTTCAACAGCTTCCACCGTGTTGGAATAGAAACGCTTTCAACACTCACGAATACATTAATTAATCATGTTGATCACAACACACAGACCATCTGTTTTGATTTTCTTTACATGAAATTTCTCTGAATGCTCGAGACTCTGTTGTTGATTCTGTTGTTGACTTACGACTCAAGGTACAGGTCATTCTCGACACGGTTGCGTCTTGCGGATTGAAAGCAACGTGCTGAGGGCCTTACGAGCATGAACGGCCATCAAACGGAAGTCTCAGCTACAGCTGAGATGACTTGGGCGCAGGAGGAGGCAGTATTTGACGAGAATGGTTTCGCCAGGAAAGAGTCCTCTGCCAACGGCCACTCCGGTCCAGAGGAAGTTACGACGCGTTCCATAGATGACAGAGAGCTCAAGGACATGCAGAAGAAGTACGGATACTTCTTTGCGCCAGACGAGCTTGCAGAGCTCAAAGATGCATTCATGAAGCATCTGAAAGCGCAGGGTGGAAACGACGGGGCACAGCCCGTAGACTCTTCGATCCTCGTCGACGATGCCCGGGAGCTTCTTTCTGGCCTTGGATTCATCCCTCGTGACTGTAACATAGCGGAGACCATCGAGAGAATCATCAACACTCGCCAGATCACTGTCACTGTGGTCCAGGCCGAGAGCCTTGCTGCCCGAGACAAGAACGGCAAGTCTGACCCCTTCGTGGAGCTCCACTTCGGATCTCGTGTCCTCAAGACCAAAGTATGCACAGAGACGTTGGACCCTGTCTGGGATGAGACGTTGACCCTGGAGGATGAGATGAGCAATCCTTGCAACAAGCTGGATGTTGTTGTGTGGGACCACGACTTCTCTGTGCTCGGGAATGCCAAGGATTTCATGGGTTGCGTGACGCTAAACCTGGAGGGCCCAGAGTACGACGAAGTCACGGACAAGTGGTACTATCTCGAACATTCGAACACGTACTCGAAGAAGCAAGAATTGATATCAGGGAGAGTCAGGCTGAAGGTGTTCGTGGACAAGCATTCCAAGCAAAGCAAGGAGTCGGAAGAACTGAGGCTGACATTTTCTGACCTGGTCAAGATAGTTTTCCGGGAAAGAAACGAAGGAGCTCAGACTCAGCCGACGAACAACCCTCTGTTTCCTTTCGATCCCGATTCCCTGAGCAAGCAGTCGTGGGACTTGGTTGTCATGTTTCTGCTCCTGTACACCACGTTTGCTGTTCCGTTGCTCCTCGCTTTCGGTTCAGATCCTATCAAGGGTCCCATGACGCCATACCAGATCTGGGACTTGTGCTTGGATGTGATCTTCTGTGCGGATGTTATACTCTCCTTCTGTACTGCTTACACGCATCAAGGAGTTTACACTACCAACATGTGGATGATCGCTAGGAACTACCTGCGGGGATGGTTCTGGATTGATCTGCCTGGCAGCGTTCCCTTTGATAAGATTGTGACTGCGGCGTCCTCGGGCGACAACCTTGCTCCGACGCTGCGTGTCCTCAAGTTCATCCGTATCCTGAAGATGGTGCGAGCTGTGAGATTCCTGAACAAGCTGTCGCAGCTGGAAGAGAAGGACAGGTCCGGGTCTCTCAGGACCGTTCTCAAGATCTTCCGCTCCATCTTCTTGATGGTCTTCTCTGCACATTTCCTGGGCTGCATGTTTGTGATGATGATTGATCCCGCATCAGCCGACAACTGGATGCGAGCTTACAACCCAGAGATTGCCGATCATGGCTCCGACATCGAAAAGTACGTCCTCTGCCTGTACTGGGCGCTGGCCACGGTCAGTACCCTCGGGTACGGCGACGTCCTCCCCGTAACACACGAGGAGAGGATTTACAGTGTGTTTGTGGCGCTGACGGGGGTGGTGATCTTTGGGTTTGCCATGGGAAACATCACTACCCTTCTCTCGCAAGCCCAGGGGGCCCGCCTGAGGTTCGAGGACAAGCTGCGGACTGTTTCTGAGTACCTCGACTTCCGCCTTGCCAGGCCTGACCTGAAGCGGCGTGTGACAGCTTACTTTGGAGGGTGCTGGAGACGCAGCGGAGAGCTCTTCACGGAGATGGAGCTGCTCAACACGTTCCCCAGGCAGCTGAGGAGGATGACGTTGAAGCACCTGGGGTCAGAGGCAGAGAAGAAAATCCCCCTGTTGTTCAACCTTGACCCCGAGGTCATCGGGGAGATCTACGTCAGGCTGCAGCCCATGGTGTACAGGAGGGCGGACAGCATCTACCTTAGGGGAGACGAGGGCGGGGAGATGTACTTCATCACTGAGGGGATGGTGAACCTGCACGGGATGAGGTTGGAGGAGTACGTGAACGAGACGGGAGAGTCTATCTACTCCTCGGAGTCTTTCATGCGCCTTCGGACGGCAGAGAAGGGAGGGCAGGAAGCGTTCTTCGGCGAGATGACTCTCTTCCCCGAGATCTGCCGTCACCATGCGGAGGACGCTACCGCCAATACCGAAGTCTCTTGCTTCATCCTCACGTACGCCAGCGTCCTGGACATCAAGGAGATGTTCTCGGCCTTTTATGACAAGCTCTTCCAGTTCTGCTCCTTGCGGGCTGCTCGCTTCGGGATCAACAACCACGTGACCAAGAAGCTGTCTCAGAGGTCCGAGAGAGGTTTCGGCACCATCGATCGCATGCTGACAGAGATGAAGAACGATCTGCTCGAGCGCCACGAGCTGCTCTTGGCGCAGAGCGAGCAGAGGGAGTCGGAGAGGATCAAGCATCAGAGGTTGGAGAGCTTCAAACCCCAGGAGCAGGACGACTCCCGGCTTATGGTCTGGCTGGTCAAGAAGAAGCTAAACCTCCTGGAGTCCGGCTACAAGAGGCTCGTCCTCGACCTCACCGCAGGCAGCCTGTCCCAGGACGACAGCGTAGAGACAGACGCCAGCGGGAACAAGATCCCTTCCAAGAAGCCCAACAGTACTGCTAAGAGCTCCCCGATCACGACAGTGACTGGGCTAGAGAACGTATGGAACAAGAGCTCGGCGTTGAGAATCTACTTCTCCTCCTCCCAGACGAGTCTCGACGTGGAGTTCAACACCGCTGGGGAGAAGGAAGAGTTTGTCGGGGCTGTCCGCAAGCAGCAGGAGAGCATCCTCCGGGCTGCGCATCCTTTCAAGCGCACTCCTTCCGCGGGGAAGACGTCGGAGGCCCTTGAGGTTCACCGTGGTTGGCTACTCTGCCATGAAGACAGGCCGCTGGGGGTGTTGAAGCAGGAGCACGACGACTTCGGGCAGTGGAGGAAGTTTTCCTTCACGCTCAACTCCAAGGGGATGCTTCTGTACGTGTTCGACAACCTCTCCTCCCTGACCGCCAGCTCCTTCTCTACTCTCGGCCAGCTGGATCCCAACTCGTTCTTTCAGCCCTCCATCATCAACATCGGCTTGAGCAACGGCTTCTCCTTCGGCAAGGGCGGCTGCGTCCTCCCCATCACGAGCCCGACCATCGGCAAGACGCGCATTATCATTGGGATGCAGTCCGTAGAAGACGTCATCTTCATCAAGAAGAAGGCGGACAAGACGCTGGCGGGGATGAGGATGAAGACGCAGGGAAGTATGCGGGATGACAAGGGGCTAGAGGGCAACGGGGACTTCATGGTGGAGGGGCTGGATCAGACGAGGTGCGAGCACATCTTCAAGACGCTCTCGGAGCTCAACATGAGCTATCACATGCAGAAGTTTCACGATCAGAACATCGACGACGAGGCTTTCTTCCTCATGTCCAGGAACGACATGCTCTCTCGCCTCCAGATCCCCATGGGAGATGCGCTCAAGATCTGGTCGAGCATGCAGGCCTCGACCAAGGCCAAGACATCAAGCGCGGAGGTCCTCCCACCCTCCCTCCCCCTCTCCACCTACCGCTCCTCTCCTCCCACTCCCTCCTCCTCCTTGTCCTGCTGCTTACTGCTCATTCTTCTCCTGAGCTGCTGTTGTACCGTACTCCTCGTCCTTGTCCTGCTGCTGCTGCTGCTTGTTGCCGCTGCCGCTGCCGCCTGTTCCCACTCGCCTCCTCTCACCCTCTCTCCCGCAGGAAGGCGCCGAGGTCGACTTGAGCAAGTTCCTCTCTGAGCTCCGTCAGATGCGCTGGGAGGTCCACCAGCTCCGCAAGGAGATGGGCCAGCACTGACGGCCTTCATCCGATGATTGCCCGCCATGTCAGTGAACGTCCGACCTGGTCGGATCATCGATGCTCCTCCTGTACTCTAGCACTCTATTGTCAGTAATGAATGGAAACTTGCCGATGCCATGATGCCATCAGTAGTGACTCGCCGCCGGGCCGCCGAGTCAGCTAAGTTCAGTGCCCGCAGGGTCGGGACAGTCCGGGCCTTGAAAGTTGCCCGGCGGAGCCAGGCGGCGGCGGGCTCGCCGGACGGTCCGATCGGGCCCGGGCCCGGAGTTTCAGTGATTTGAATGAGGCAGACTCGCTCATGATTGTTTTAGTCAATTTGGGTTGCAGCGCTGCCTCCATTCTTGGAAGAGGTATAAATAGAGACACTTTCATGGGGAGGAGGCCTCACGGTACAAACCTAAATTAATTTATATTCACAAGTACTTTTTAAAAATACTATACTTATGTTTTTCGCTCTATGGTACATCTGTTAAAATACTAATACATAGACTCAACTCCCCCTTGCGACCCTCCGTTGCGAAGATGGCGGAAGGGGGAGGAGGATATGGGAGGAGGAAGAGGAAGGGAGAAGAGGAGGAAGAGGAAGGGAGAAGAAGAGGAACAGGGGAACAGGATAGGAGGAGGGTGTAGGGAGAACCTTACAGCTCAGAAGGATGAGGGAAGTTAGGGGAAGAAGATTAGAGACGAGGTTGAGTTCAACCGGAATTGAGGAGGGCAGAGAGGGAGGTCAAGCAGAAGAGTACCAGGAGATGTGCGGGTTAGGAGAAAATACTGGGATGAAAAGGATTGTCGTGGAGCAGTCTGATTGGATTTGAGGAGACGAACTTTTCTTCTGGTTGTCAGATATCCTCATCGTTAGAGACTGGCATGTTCGATGCGATGGATCACTTCTAGATGCGCTGCTGACAAGGCGCCTCAGGTCTCTCCACCATGAAGAGGAAATGGTTCCTCATCTTCGCATTCCTCTCCATGCGCCAGCTCATGGCGTTCTCACCAAGGTTTTCACCTCCCGCTCCTCTCTCTGAAGACTGAAGCGACTTCGTCACAGGCCGCTGCCACTGCCAGGCAGCAAGAGATCGTTGCTCAAGGTCTGCCCGTCGATCCAGATGGTGAAGATGATCCGGTAGAGGAGGACATGGCTGAACTAGCGGCAGGTCATCGCGTTCCCCTCCAAGAAGACACTGTTGAGCAAGTCAGCCCACCCGCCCGAGGGGCAGAGGAAGCAGGAGGCTGCGAGCATGAGGCAGGAGCCTCCACGAGACTTGCAAGTCGACACGAAGGCGTGTCCTCCTCCTGTGACGAAGCGGCAGGAGAGGAATAGGATGCAAATTGCCGCCATCGGTCTCAGCCACAAGACAGCTACCGTCGAGGTCCGCGAGAAGTTGGCCGTGCAGGAGCACAACTGGCAGAGCGTCGGTCGCGCCATCGCCGCGCTCCCGTCGCTCAAGGAGGCTGCCGTCCTCTCTACGTGCAACCGCTTCGAGATCTACTTTGTCACCAACGACGTGCACGCCGGGATCAGGGAGGTGACGGAGTACCTGAGCACGACCCGCGGGGTGTCGATGAAGGAGCTGAGGAGCTCGCTCTTCATGCTCAGCGAGGACGACGCGGTGTGGCATGCGCTGCGGGTGGCGGGAGGGCTGGACTCCCTGGTGATCGGGGAGGGGCAGATCCTGTCGCAGATGAAGCGGTGCTACGAGATCGCGACGGAGAAGCAGGGAGCGGCGGGGAAGGTGCTGACGCGCATGCTCAACACGGCGGTGTCGGCAGGAAAGCGGGTGAGGTCGGAGACGGGGATCGCGCGAGGAGGAGTGTCGATCTCGTCTGCGGCGGTGGAGCTGGTGGAGAAGAACTGCCTGCAGGACCTGGACCTTGACATGGACCAGCTGGACATCTGTATCCTCGGGGCCGGGAAGATGGCGAGGCTGCTGGTGCAGCACCTGCTGCCCCGCAACGTGAAGAGCATCACCATCGTGAACCGATCACAGCAGGGGGCGGACAACCTGGCGTCGATGTTTCCGGACGCGAACATCAAGACGGCGCTCATGGACTCGATGCTGGAGATGGTCGGGACGTCGCACGTGACGTTCGCGTGCACGGGGGCGATGGAGCCGATCCTGTACCAGGAGAACCTCGAGGGCGCGATGCAGCGAGGCGCGATGCTGGTGGACATCAGCGTGCCGAGGAACATCGACGACGTCGGGGCGAACAAGGTCGAGGGCGTGAAGGCGTACAACGTGGACGATCTCAAGGCCGTGGTTGCGGCGAACCAGGCGAGGAGGCAGCGGCTGGTGCTGGAGGCGGAGGAGCTGATGCAGGACGAGGTTCAGTCGTTCAAGGAATGGTGCCATTCCCTTGACAACGTCCCCATGATCGCAAGGCTGAGGAGCAGGGCGGAGGAGATTAGGATAGCCGAGATGCTCAAGTACGAGCGGAAGCTGTCGGGGCTGAGCGCGCAGGAGCGAGAGACGGTGGAGAGGCTGACCAAGGGGATCGTGGCGAAGCTGCTGCACGGCCCCATGTCGCACATGAAGACGGTAGACCCTGAGCTGTCGGAGTCAGAGGCAGTGATAAACAGCATTCGTGCTATGTTCAGGATCTTGTGATGGTGCTGGAAAGATAATGAAGCGATGTCGTAAGAGTAATCTCTGAATGTATGCATCAGTGCGGGTGAGATGGAGATGCTAGTCATGTGTGGAGGATCGGCAGGGTACATGGATGGAGCGTAAAGAGGATGTAGCAGATAAGGCGGGGGAATGGGAGAGCAGCACAACTCAGGTTTGACGCCAACAATAATTTACAACTTCAAAAAAATCAATGGAGACCATGTGAGGACTACAAAATTACACGCTCAGACAAGCTAAGAGCTCTAGAGGCGGAACATTGCCTCCAGGCTCTTTACAGTCGACTGCCTGTCCGAAACGTCATCAACTGTCCTCAAGTGCGACATGGGGCCGTGCAGCAGCTTCGCCACGATCCCCTTGGTCAGCCTCTCCACCGTCTCTCGCTCCTGCGCGCTCAGCCCCGACAGCTTCCGCTCGTACTTGAGAAGCTCCTCGCGGCGGATCTTGTTGGCGCGGCTCTGAAGTTTGGTAATCATTGGCACGGTTCCAAGGGACTGATGCCAACCCTTGAACGACTTCATCTCATCCTGCAGCAGCTCCTCCGCCTCCAGCACCAGCCGCTGCCTCCTCGCCTGGTTCGCCGCAACCACGGCCTTGAGATCGTCCACGTTGTACGCCTTCACGCCCTCGACCTTGTTCGCCCCGACGTCGTCGATGTTCCTCGGCACGCTGATGTCCACCAGCATCGCGCCTCGCTGCATCGCGCCCTCGAGGTTCTCCTGGTACAGGATCGGCTCCATCGCCCCCGTGCACGCGAACGTCACGTGCGACGTCCCGACCATCTCCAGCATCGAGTCCATGAGCGCCGTCTTGATGTTCGCATCCGGGAACATCGACGCCAGGTTGTCCGCCCCCTGCTGCGATCGGTTCACGATGGTGATGCTCTTCACGTTGCGGGGCAGCAGGTGCTGCACCAGCAGCCTCGCCATCTTCCCGGCCCCGAGGATACAGATGTCCAGCTGGTCCATGTCAAGGTCCAGGTCCTGCAGGCAGTTCTTCTCCACCAGCTCCACCGCCGCAGACGAGATCGACACTCCTCCTCGCGCGATCCCCGTCTCCGACCTCACCCGCTTTCCTGCCGACACCGCCGTGTTGAGCATGCGCGTCAGCACCTTCCCCGCCGCTCCCTGCTTCTCCGTCGCGATCTCGTAGCACCGCTTCATCTGCGACAGGATCTGCCCCTCCCCGATCACCAGGGAGTCCAGCCCTCCCGCCACCCGCAGCGCATGCCACACCGCGTCGTCCTCGCTGAGCATGAAGAGCGAGCTCCTCAGCTCCTTCATCGACACCCCGCGGGTCGTGCTCAGGTACTCCGTCACCTCCCTGATCCCGGCGTGCACGTCGTTGGTGACAAAGTAGATCTCGAAGCGGTTGCACGTGGAGAGGACGGCAGCCTCCTTGAGCGACGGGAGCGCGGCGATGGCGCGACCGACGCTCTGCCAGTTGTGCTCCTGCACGGCCAACTTCTCGCGGACCTCGACGGTAGCTGTCTTGTGGCTGAGACCGAGGACGACAACCCTCGTCTCCGAGGGCTTGCCCTTCCTGTCCTCCTTGGTCTTGGGCTCGATGGGGAGAGACTTAGGAATTTCCATGTCCATTCGGACGTTGGCCTGAAGGTCAGAGGTCAGAGCAGTGCCATGAGAAAGATGATTGCAAGGGAGGACAACAAAAATGAAGGCGAGCAGGTATGCTGGCTGCAGTGTTTGAAAATGCTTTGTCTCACCAAGATAGGCCGGGTAGCAAACCTTGCCGGTGAAACATTCAACCTAGCAGCAGACGATCCAACAACCCTGTTCCATGGGATCGTTAGCAACTATCATGCACAATAGGGCAAGTCATCACCTCAAAGGGGCAACAGGACTGAAAGCAGCGCATGATGCTGCCGATAGGAGCACGAGGCCAGCCACGAGCTGCATTTTAAACTTGCAGAGAGAACGAGCGAGGAAGTGATAAGCACACAAGGTCTGAGCTGAGAGAACTTTGAAAGTCTCCCTTGTCCTGTTCTTGTTCCTCTCTCTTCTCCTCTCCTTGGTCGTTGCCTTGCCCACCGATACTGGATGCCAGGAGGAGGACGCGGTGTTGGTAGCTAGAGATTGGGGTCCAGGGATCCCAGGGGTGGGTATGGCATCAAAAGGTAGGGTTTTGATGTCAGGGTGGGGTACTTCAGAGGGGTACTCATAAGGTTTTTGAGTATTCAGGGGTTATGGGCTTTGACAAGTGAAATGGAGGGGTATAGCTCAATCGGTCTAGAACATTACCGGTATTTTTAAAGGAATATTCGATGGAAATCAGGGGTAGGTTCAAAGAGTCGCAAACCATAGTGGGTAGGGTATGCTTTGCATGTTTAAATTGTGGGTGGTGGTATGGCAAGTGCATAGCAGAGAGATACCAAGGGTGGTATCCCAAATGTAGTTCTTCTGAGGGGGTAGTTGCACAACAATCATGGAATTGGAAGGGTGGTCTTCCCAGGGGGTAGTGGAGTGTCGTCACAAAACGAATCAAGACTGCCCATGGGGTGGGGTGGGGAATTCGAAGGGGTGCTGGGGTATATTTGGGGGTACTAGATAAGTCTCAATACATTTTTGAAGGGTGGGGTACTCTAGTACCCCTGCAAACAGCACGAAATTAGTGTGTCAAAGGGGTCAACTAAGTACCATTGATCCAATAGGACCGGTGCTTGTTGAACAGGACCAGTGGTCGAGCATCAATCGATACTGACCACCCGTTCATTCTGAGAATCAAGAGCACCCTGGTGGCGACTTACCTACCGTCAGAAAGCAGTACCCTACCACACCTTAAACCGAGATTTGTTAGAGAATATACCGGTACCTTCTAGACCCCACCCTCCTGGGTCCAAGAAATCTCAGACTGCACCCCAACCTGTTGAGCTTGTTGGTGTATCCCAGTGGATCCCGATCGGTGGGGTAGGGATTTCAACTAGGGGTGGTGATGAGTCTCAAATGATGGGATTTCCAAAAAGTACGGGTAGTTGTTATTCTTTTTCTACATGTACTGGGTACTTTTATTATAAAAAGAAAGGGTACTAGATGCAAAATAAACTCAAGGTAAGGGTCCTTGAGGATGCTCGAGTCATGTGCCCCATCAGCTGCAACAATGGGGGTGGGGGACACCTAGGGGTGGGGTAGTCAGATCCTAGGGGTGGGGCTGTGGGGAGCCGATGACTGGTTTTGGCTGAAAAGGCTGAACCAGCACTTTACAACGGTTTTAACATTCAAAAACAGTTTTATAATTTATAAAGGGAAAATGTGTACCATGTTTATTCTGAAAACGATATAATTTGATTAGTAAACCATATTGCGGTACAACAGGGGGTCATTGAATATATTTTTAGAAATCTCTTCAAGAAATCATTGGGCCGCCTCAGGACGCATCTCACATTGTGGGGGGCCTGCGGAGGCAAAGTTGAAACTAGCAGGAAATATTTCAACTTTCCTGAATTCGTTTGACCTACTGTACAACGTTTTATTCGTAAATCATTCTGTACCCCCTCTTTTAAACGTAAAAATGTTTTTGAGGTCAGAACTTTACGTGTGTCATCCTTTCCTGATGACCCCCTACCCTCTCTTGAACCAAACAATGGCCGACCACAGCACGGTAGTATTTGCACTCGAAGTTAAGTTAAAAAGATACTAGAGGTCTTATGGATGTCCTTCTGAATAGCGTTGCGTAGTGTGCCCAGTTTAGTTAACCTGGAGAAAGGGGTTAAGATCTAGGTTAAATCCATAGATGACCCTAGCTAAAGATTCCAGTTATCAATTTGTACCACAACCATCGCTTTTTTTTAACTGTCAACAACTCGTTCCATCGATGCATTCATGCGGTTGCCATGCTATGCAGAAAGAATGCAGATCTGATGCGTATGCGAAGGTTGCGTTGCAGTCATATGAGATTCCAGCAACAGAGATATTGCATGAGCCGCTCATGCAATATCTCTGTTGCTGTCAATGCAGGAAATCAACAACATGAAGCGTACAGTATGAAATCATTTATTGCATGAACTTCCTAAATTCAAGCGAAAGCTCACGATGTTTGTGTCCCCTTCAGGATTCATGTCTCCAATCCTTGGTGACTACAGATGAGCTCACTGGAATCTGCATAGCTTGACACATGCACAGGAAGCGGTGACGTTAGCCCGTTGGAATATCCTTCGAAGTTTACCTTTGCCTGTTCTTGAACATATGCATGTTACTATGAAAAGATGCTGTATGTTAATCATATGTACCGTTGAACATTACATTTGGATTCGTTATCATTGTCCTCGTTGAACACACAACAGGAAAGCTTTCAGCAACACAATCTTGCTGTCTCAGAGATGTTCAACAGCGAGCAACAAGAGCTAATAAAGAGTGAGGGTGAGCTAGGTGTGCAGGCTGCCATGAGTCTATGCTGACAGGATGATAGTTGATGTTATGTTGTCAGTCAGATGGAGAGGCAGAGGTTCACGGGAAGGAAGTCGGGCGAGGCTGCGCACGCCATGTGTACGCTGTGTGGAACGCCCTGCCAGGGCGCCGCTCGTCGGCTTTTACCGAGATGTCGAACCGTTGCGATTTAGCTATTCAAACGCTATTCAGGCCCTGAATAGTGACATAGGAAACTATTCAGAGCCTGAATAGTGTCTGAATTCAGAGCTGATTCCCGGATCAATCACGGCGGCCGCCTGAAGTTTCGACCGGCGGGCCGCCCACTGGCAGCTGGCGCTGCCCGCCGCGGCGGTGGGGCCACGGCATCCCCGGGACGATGATCATCACTGAGTCCGATCGGTGACTCACTGCCCGGTGATGCATCGGCCCGGCCGGGGCTAGTAGCGCCGGGCCCCGGGGCGCCGCCCGGCCCGGCCCCCGGGCCCGGCGCTCCGATAATAGACCGTGGCCGCCGCAACTTGACGTGAGTTCGCCGCCGGTTTGACTGACAGTGACACGTAAGTCGTCTTGGTTTAGTGACAGGAGAGTTTTTTCACACGGTCCGGTCACCGTAACTCGGCGCTATCTGACTGGCGGCCCACGGCTGGCATACCGTACGTTCCATCCGATCAGTGAGATCCGGCGGCCGGGGGCGCCGCCGCCGGCCCTGACTTGATCCGACTCCGTACGAAGATGGTTTTCCGACGGTGGCGCCACCGGCCCGGGGTACCGGGTCTCGGCCCGGGACCGGACGATACGGTCCGATCAGTGCCACCGTGACGACTTCGGATGATGCCGCCGCGTGACTCGCGGCTCGCCGGGCCCGGGCCGGAGCCTCGAGTTGCGGCTGGCCGGGCGGCCAGTGCTGACAGTGGCGGCCCGCCGACGGCGGTCCCGCCGGGCCGCTCAGTCGGGCCCTCTGAGAGACCGGATCGGATGCCGGGCCGGTAAAGTCCTCAGACCGTCAGTCAACTACGGCAGTACTGATGAGTCACCCGCCGGACTCCGGATGCGGGGGCCGGGGTGCAGGGGTTTTTGAGGGTGAAAACACTTCTTTTCAGAGTCTTTTGAAAAAAATAGATAACCCAAATCCTTGACGCCGCTTTCCACCATCTGTTTTCCCCAGAAAGTATGTTGAAATCCCTGGTGGGTTGTACTACCCCACCTCCTAAATATTTCGCAACATATGGTTCGCTTGACCATTAACCGCTGCTTTCAAACTCACTTGTACCCCCACCTCCCCTTTTGACTTGTTACCACCCTACCAATTACCCTGACCTCTTCCCCCAAAGGGCCCCACGTTTTTCTGTCCTGGTACAAAAGACTACCTTTCAAACTTGATTGTACTACCCTACCACACCTTACTCCTGCAAAATCACCCACCCTCTAGTCAATTTGTCAATTTCCAACCATGGATTGTACCAGTTTCCACCCGTCATTTTCCCCTCTCAGTACCCACCTTTTATAGCTGACAGTTACCTCGGGATTCCAGACGGGACTTGATACTCTCTTGGGTAGGGTGGGTACTCATACGACAAGAAAGTTGTGGGGTGGTCATACAGCGATGGAGAATTTTTTATCTTGCTGTCCTCAGGATTTCAGATGGGTAGGGTACTTTCAGTACCGGTAAAGTTATGGTGCATTCGAGTGTTTATCCCTGGGTAGGGTACTGAGAAAGTACGTCTGTGGGTGGAGCTCCTGAGAACCCCTGGGCCAACCATGGAGACATTTTGATTCCTCCATTTCAGCCAATTGAAATATTTTCTCCAAAATGTACGGTATGGTTTGATTTATTGATAGAATATTATTCAAATTATTCAATTTGTTCGGGAAGTTTGTCGAAATTTCGAGAAGGGCTGCTTTTGGAGCCGAGGAGTTCCATACGACGGTGAGCGAAGGTCACGAGATACTCGAGAAAGAGGGGGTGGGGTACTGGCCTCAAAGGGGGTCTTGTGATCCTGGGGTACTAAACATTCCGGAACAAATTCAAAAGGGGGTGGGGTTTACGGTTTAGGGACGAACATGAAGTAGGTGGGGTAGTGTTAGCACTGTGGACTCCTTTTTTGGATGTGGTGATGACTTTGGGGGTAGGCTGCCGAAGGGGTGGGGTGGTTGAATGGGAGTTGTCATTTGACCTCCGACTTCTCCTGTAGTCCAAAAGGAATTTCCGTAATTCCAGGGGTGGGTGTTGCTGCACCGGTCATTTTCTACTTATTTCAGACATATCATCATAGGTAGGGTCCTCTTCAATCAGCATTTTCGGGCCAGATATGATGGTGGGTAGGTAGTCAATCCGAATGTTTGGGTGGTAGGGTGATAATCTTGTCGATGCTACAGTAGGGTCATGCCTTGACCACCCACCCCATGTATTCTCTACCCTGCGAGAATGACAGGGTTGTTTGGAAGGGTGAGGGTGGGTGATGAATTTGAATGAAGATATTATTTATGCCGGGGTGGTCAAAATATGTCAGAGGGTAGGGGTAGATTGATGAGAAATGGGTAGGGTCTTGCAGGATCATTGGGGGTTCAAAGGTAGTCAAATGTGGGGGTGGCACCTTGCAAGGCTACTGGAGGGGTTATAAGGGTGGGGGTTATATGTGGGAAAAAGAGGGGGTTTGTCAAAGTAGTTGAGGAAAGGGGGTGGGGGTGATAGGATTTCGGATTCTCCCAGCACATCTGCAACAAGAGGGGTGGGTGGTATGGTAGAGTATGTTGGAGGGGTGGTGGTAAAGCAGGGGTCACAATAGGCTGATAGGGGTACTTTTTGAACAGAGGAGGTTGGGGCTCACCAAAGGTGTGGGGTGGTAGGGAATGTGGTGGGTGGGTGAGATGTTTTTAATGGGGGTGGGGGTACCAATGGGACAGGAGGAATGATGGCGCGCGTTGGAGGAAGGGATAGGGCAGGAGGGAGGAGGGAAGGAGAAGGGAGGGAGGAAAGGCTCAGTGACTTGGAATTTTGGTAAGAGATTGTGAAGATGTGCTGGAAGGGAAGAAACACCATGGCAGTGTGGGAGGGAACCTGTGGATGTCGGGGACTTGCTCATGGGAGAAGAAAAATTGGCACCGAGATATGAAAAACCTTTGGCAGGGAGGACTGGGATTGATGTTAGAGAATCTTGATTTCACTGATTCATTGAAATCTGTTATTGAAAGGGAATCCACCAGTTTAAGATTGCATGTTGAAGAGGTCGCATCGAAGGATAGAATTTCGGGCTCAACTGCCCGTTCCATTGTGAGGATAGCAAGTGTAGGTCGTCCTAGTAGCACAGTGGTAGTGCTCGAAGCGATCCGGTGCAGAGAATGATATCCGAAATGGTTGGACACAGCTCAGTTTCTTGCATTGACCTACTGAGCAGGCGCGAGAACTGTTTTTGGACCCATCTCTCTGGACATGAACGAGCATTGCCCAGCGCAGCCGCATCCCGAGGCTGAGAGGAGGGCGGTCTTGGACGGGAACCCTGGCTGGCAGCACTCAGAGAGCATGCAGCGCCTCCTTTGTGTTGGGGTTGGGCTGATCTGTGCGTCAATGGTCTTCAGCACGCTGATGGTACATTTGTTGCCCTCGATTGCGCGATGTTTGACGGCATGCTTGAGGTATGGCGGACTTTGTTCGAGTTGAGCTGGGGCCCCTTTAAGGTGAGGACTGAGACAAGAAGTCTTTGTTGTTGTCGTTGTTTTCGATCGGATGATGCAGATGATGATCGTGATGATGGGTGTGAAGACGTCAAGGCCGAGTCACTGTTAGAGTACGAAGATTAATATATGATGATGGAGAAGATGAGACCTGAGTATGATCGATGCCGATGCCGATGTTGATAATATTTTTGATGAGATTTTCTAAATGTTGTGACTCACGGGATGTTTGCTTAGTATCAGGCAAGTCTTTTAAGTCTGGAAGGCTCTTCTATTCCACTTGCAAGCGTTTCGATCACTCTCGCGGTATGTACGACTTGTTTGGTGTCTGCTTATCTCCAATCCTTCTCCGCTCACTCTCTCCTCCTGTCCCCTCCTCTCGTTACCTCCCCTGCGGTCACCCCCTTTCTCCTCTCCTTTGTTGGGCTCATCTCGTTATGCAGGTTGCATCCATAGTCGATGCGGCCTTGGCCGCAAGGTGGACAAGACCAGGCTCGAAAGAGCACATCACTCCACTCACTCCTCGACTCTGTGCGATCCTCGTCATCGGTTTCCTGCTAGCAGGTAACTCGCCTCCTCTGTCTCTCTAAACCCCCCCCCCCCCCCTTCCTTGTCAACTTCGTTCGTCCTCCCCATCTCTTGCATCCTGTGCTCCTCTGCATCCTGTTCTGTACACGTCCCATCGTTGGAAGCATACCAGCTCACCATCTTGACAGGAGCCATAAGTGTTCCCCCCTTGTGTCGAGCTGCGTTGAAGGACATGATGAACTCAGACTCAATGATCATCGGAGGCGTTGGGTCACCTCAGGGACTCTCCCCGAACCTCTTGTGGAAGCGTGCTGGACAGAACGAGAGCGCTGAGCTGAATTTGTCAAGCCTCAGCAGCTCAAACTCATCATGTCTGTCCGAGGAGAAGTGAGGGAAGGGAGGGACACGCGGAGGGGAGGAGGTCGGGGGTGTACGATGGGGTTAGGGAGGATCCCATGATGTATATTTAATTACACGCTCAGAAATGTCAAATAAGGAGGAGAGGAGTGAAAGGAATGCTGTTCAGGATGCTGTACTTGACATTGGTCCTTCATAGCTTTCATGCTTTATGAACATTGTATGTATCGATGCAGCATTGACTCTTCATCGTCAATGTGCTGTCCAGCTTTTGTCTCCGATGCCCTCCGTTCGTTTGCTAAGGCTTAAGGAGTCTGTTTAGGGCCCCGTCAGCGAATGGGAAGAAGGGAAGGATAGGGAGGAAAGATACATGAGGCAACAGAGGCAGGTGCAAGAGAGACGGAAATTGACAGAGAGGACTGAAGGGAGAGGGAGAGGGAGAGGGAGAGGGAGAGGGAGAGGGAGAGGGAGAGGGAGAGGGAGAGGGAGGAAGGACTCTGATCAGTCTCACCCCCTTCTTGTCATGCTCGTGCTCGTGCTCGTGCTCGTGATCGTGATCGTGATCGTGCTCGTGTCCATGGCCCCCATGATGCCCAGTATGTGCGTGTCCTAAGTCACTTGTAAGCCCCTCCTTCCTCCTCACCTCTTTCCTCCTTCCAACTCTCTCCTCCGTCCTCGTTCCTCTTTCCTCCGGCCTCTCACTTCACCTTCCTGCTACAACTCCCTCTCCTGCAAGAGGGCCAGTACACTCCATCCCCTCCATCCATTTCCCTCCTCTCCCTCCGCTCTTACTATGAAACTGCCCCAGCCAGTTGTGTAGGATTAGGATCCCCAACATCCACAGGATACTAGCAAGACAGGCGTTAGGAAGGATGAAGGAAGGAAGAAGGAGGTTGAGCAACGAAAGGGGAGGTGGGAAGAGGTATGAGGAGGAAGGAGCCAAGTAGGAGAAGGTGAAGGAGTCAGGGGGAGGGGGAGAAGGTACAAGGTGGAATTGGGGACAGGAAGTAGCTGATAGGAGGGAGGCAGTTGGAGGAAGGAGGGACGGCAAAAGACCTGCAGAAAACGACGACCCAAACATCAAGAGTATTGATCAGAGCCTGCGAGGACGTGGGGCTTCAGCGCAGAGAGCATGAGAAGAAAAGAGGAGGAGATCAAGTGGGAAGGTGGAGGTCAAAGGAGGAGAGCGGGAGGATACAGCTGAACGACGAGGAGAGGAGGGAGAGGTGGAGAGAGGGAGGGAGAGTAGAAGAAGAGAGGGAGCCAACTCGGGGGTGAGGTGGGAGAGAGAACAAGGGCAAACCTGCGCCTCCTCCATGTCCTCGTGCGAGCAAACTTTGACGTCTCCGTGGACCTTGAAGGCCTCGAGCTCTGCCTCGTCCTTGGTGCAGGGCTTGTTGAGCTCCGCATCAGCCGCAGAGTGATGGATCCTGACCACGAGAACGTGAGAGGAAGTGGAAGAGAATGATGATGATGGTGATGATGACGAGAAGGAGGAAGAGGAGGATGAAAAGGTTGTTGATGTTGATGTTGATAATGATGATGAGGAAGAGGTGGTGGCGGCGAAGGAAGTGGTGGAGGTGAAGGTGGATTTCAGGTAGAGGCATGCTTCACCGTTCAACGTGAGCGTTGGGGCAGCAGGTCGGGATGTAGGAGAAGAACATGATCTCAGTGCTGTAGGCCTCTGCCAGGCTGGTGAGCACAAGAAGAGGGTCAGACGCCTCACCATGTTCGCCCTCATGCTCGGACTGAGAGAGCTGCGAGGAGAGTTTCTGCAGAGAGTGTCAGGGTTCCAGGAGCATCGAACCCCTTGCTCCACTCCTTCCTGCTGCTCCACTTCTTCTCCCTCCTTGATCTCCCCTCTCCTCCTCAATCTACCTGTTCACCCTTCACGCTAGCATGCGCCGCCTCCTCCTCTCCCTCGTGCGCCTCTTCCTCCCCGTGACTCTCGTGCTCCCCGTGAGCAGCATGGTCGAGATGAGCTACTCGGACGCGTCAGAAAACAAGACACAGGCTTCCTCCTCCTCACCATGGCCAACGTCGGTGAAGCAAGCGTAGCACTGTTGCAAGGAAAGATCAGTTTGGGGGGAAGGGGGGGGGGGGGGGGCGGAGAGCGGGAAGGGGGGGGGAGGGGGATGAAGAGGAGGGGGGGGAAGAAGGGGGGGAAGAGGGGGGGGGAGGGGGGGGGGGGGTTGGGGTGCCCAAGGATAAATAAACCCCCTTTACCCTCCCGGGCTCCCAGGGAC